GCATCGTGTGTATCCTGCATTACAGTTAGAGTACTTTACCAAATATGTGTCTTCCTTTTGAAAATTTTAAAATGATTTACATAATAGGCATCTCTCTCAATGATGGCTAAGAGACTGGGAAGGGTAGCAGGGAGGGAGGGACAAAGAGGGACAGGTTAACAGATACAAAAATACAGTTAAATAGAATAAATTCTCGTGTCCAAGAGCACAATAGGGTGACTATCATTTATTATATAATTCAGAATAACTAAAAGAATGAAATAAAAATGTTCCTTATGTACAACTTATGGACATTATGTATCCATAATAATCGGATACATATGTTCCTTATGGATATTATGTATCCATAACAATTAAAAATTTAAAAATGTAAAGGCATCTCTTAAAATGTACATCTTCAAAATTAGAAACTTGCTACGTTTTAAATAAAAGAGACAAATGACTTCTATAAACTATTTAAATCATTTCAAGTACACAAGATTTAGTAAGCTTACACGACATTAATAACAACACTTAGTTGTACTAATAGTAGCATTACATGTTCAAAATTTAAATGTTATTTAGCTTCCTAACATTACAATGGCACAACTTTAAAATCTGTATTACTTTTTACTTTATATTTTAGGAGTCTTCCTGGGCCAAATTTGTAGCTCTTTGTCACAAAATTGCTCTCCAGTAAAAACTAAATAAAAATGAAACTCCCAAGGCATTTGTCACCCCACACTTCCTAATCAATATGGCTTATTTTTTTTCTAATTTATATTTTATTTTTGCTAATGTAAAAGAGTTAATAGAGTAACAGAAACAGGGAACATTACCATTTCCATAATCAAAAGTGCGTGTACATTTTACATACACTCAGTACTGTCTAGATTTTCTGTTGATAAACTGTGACCACTTCTGCAGGACAATTCATGTACTTACTTTCACATTAAGGATGAAGGTTCTGGAACCATTAGGAATAAGGGTCCCACCTTCACACAAGGTACTTAACTGTTGGGAGGCTCTATTTCATCTTATGTAAACTAGAGATAATACTGAACTCACCTCAAGGGTTCATGTAAGCTAAATTTGTAGAAAGCAGTTAGCACAGTGCCAGGAAGGGTCCAAGAAGAAATGATACTTACTATGATATATTTTGTACATATATACATATGCACATTAATGACTTCTTATTAGCTGTGTTCATTAAAGGTTTTCTCCATCCTATGATTTGCTTTTAGATTTTGGAATATATTTCATTGTGTACATTCCATTTTTATTATTAATGTAAAAACATTTACTACTATTATTATCATCAATTCAATCACATGTACTGTATCTCTGATGATGACCATGATTCCTTTAATAATCATAAAATACTCTTCCCTTTATCACAGGGTAAATAACCTATCACACGCTGTAAGTCTCCATCAGCACCCCAGGCTGCCCCTGCTACATTACCAGATCTGCTACTTTAACCAGATCAATCATCATGTTAATATCACACCCACATTCAATAATGGTGAGTCTGCGCTTTTTACCTATAAGTGAAAAGGTGAAAATTTTACTTTAAAAAGACTCTGGAGAAACCCTAACCATCAAATCTCATTTTCATTTTTTTAATTGCATCTGCTAAACACCACATATGTTTACAGGAGTGTATCAGAAGTTCGTTTTTATAGGCAAAAACTAGTAACATAAAATAAATTCCATCCTGTTTTTCTTGCTGTGTTCTAAATTGAAATAATATCAAAAGTCTACCCAGGTGAATAAAAGTACTCAAACAGAGAAAATCCTGACTGGACAGACTCCGTGATAACCATGATCCTGCTGTTCAGCTGCAGGCCAATGTCTTCGTCTCTAACAAAACTTCCTGTATTCCTACTGTAGCCAAAAATATCCTTAAACATGATACAACAGAATATTCATATAATTATTTCTAAATTAATGTAAAAGGAAACAGTCAAAAAAATATGGGTTGGGCACAATGGCTCATCCCTGTAGTCCCAGCACCTTGAGAGGCCAATGCAGGCAGATCCCTTGAGCCCAGGAGTTTTGAGACCAGCCTGGGACACAAAGGGAAACCCCAACTCTACAGGGTGGCAGGGAAAGGAAGAAAAATTAGCCAGGCATGGTGACATACACTACTTAGGGGGCAGGACTGCCTGAGCCTAGGAGGTTGAGGCTGCAGTGGGCTGTAATCACACCACTGCACTCCAGCCTGTGCCACAGAGTAGGACTCTGTCTCAAAAAAAGGAAAAGAAAATATGGATGCTCCAAAGATAAAGAAAAGCCCCAATCCAACTATATTATATTATTGTAATAACAAGAGATTTCAGATTGTACATTGCCATTCTACCACTGGAAGCTTGTTTCCTTTTCCCTCAAACTTGGAAAGGTCACAATCTCCCAACGCAAATTCTCACAGGAAAAAGAGAAAACTCTCACTTCCACCAGAATGTGGCTTCATCAGGGCAAGCGTGGCACATAGGAGGTGCGTGCTACATGTTAAATGATGTCTTCATGGTGACCAGGCCTGCTAGGCCCTTCCAAGGAACATACTTGGCAAAGCCATAGGGCAGTTAGGATAAGATATTTATCACGTCCTTATCTCTGGGAACTTACACGTTTTTGAAGCCATACCCAATTTAGTAAAAGCATAAGAGAGATAGCATGATATGACAATATTTAACATCTTCCACTCAAGAAAACAACAAATACATGCATATCCCTCAGATGACAACAGCCACGCCAACCGTGACTGTGGCAGCATCTCCTACCTGACACGACCATCACAGGGCCTTAGATCTCAGTCAACTTCTGCCAGGTGAACTTCTGATGAGGCACTGTATCAAAGTGCTCTTTCCAACTTTTGGAGGCCCCATCACCATCACCACCATTGGTGGGGGCTCTAGTGGAGTTCGATCAACCACTGGAATATGATGCTTCTTTGTCTTTAAATCCTGAGTCCTATGCATGGGAAAAAAAAAAAAAAGTAAGCTTACTTTCAAAATAGAATAAAAGGTATCAACCATATAAGTAGACTTTTTTTTAGTATACTTATAGAGAGTACTTTAATATATTAATTAGAGACTACAACAGACATTATATAAATATATTAACTTGTCAATTATTAGCTTGATAACTTCTGGTCCCCATCTAAATAACTGCTGTTCAATAAGATGTAACAAGATGACTTCAATAGTATAGAGAATTGAAAATTAAACACTCCTTAAATCTGACTGTTTTATAAGTGATTTTAATAGTTTTTTTAAAAAACCAAAAGGTAACTACCAAGGCAGTGCATCATAACGGACAAAAGCAGAAGCTGTAGAGTAAATGTGACTCTCCTACTTACTGGTTATATGATTGGAGGTAACTTGTTTTCTTGACCTCAGTTTTCTTATCCATAAAATGAGGGCAAGAATAATTCCTACTCTGGTAAGGCTGCTGGAAGCATTTAGTTGAAAAATGTTTAAAGCACACCATGAGGCATATCACGAGGACTCACTAAATAAAGCCATGTTAGTATTAAATATTGTAATTTTTGTATTTTATGTTACAACTGTATGTAAAACATATCTAGAGGGAAAAAGCACACTTATCACCATAGAAACAGTATAAAGCTTAGGAATAAACAGATTCTATGAATTCTTTTATCTTGAGCAAGAAACACCAACCAGTGTGCAGACACCAGAGGCAAGTCAGCTTCTATGGGGAAGGTTTCCCACGTTTTAGTGAAAGCCACATAGCATGCACCTCTATGTCCTTCGGAGCTGGACTAGACTCGTGAATCAAAATGTCACCTGTAAGAGGCTCCTCCTATTTAAAAAGAATCAATGAAAGAACCACCAGACTGCAGCTAAACATACCAGTGAAAGGATCAAGCCATCTGCACAGTAGACTGAACTGCAAAAGCTTTGGGGTTTCTCTTCCGGGCATCTTCCTTGTCTCCTAGTTGGAGATCCTGCAGATGCCACTTCTTTTTCTTTTCAGCTTTGGGCCCACTGTTTTTCTTTCTGTGTTTCTTCTGGTCCTTAGCCTCCATAGTGGCTATTTACCAGTAACAAGTAACTCTAACCTACAAGGAAGAAGGCTGAAGTAAGGACTGGGAAAAGCATTTTACAATCCAGGCAATACCCAGGGAAAAACAGTAAATTTCATTTATTTCTTTATGAAGAGATAATGTATTTGTTCACTGAACAAGGGTAGAAACTGCTTACCCATCCCCAATTTCATTTCTGTCTATCATGCTATAAATTAGATGAGTTATCTTTGCTAAGGTTATATTTTATGGTTAAGTTACTTTTTATTCATCTTAAGAGTCAACATCAACAATATCTATTTCTGCAAGGATGGAAATATTCTACATCTGTACCTTTCAGCCATTTAGCCATTAGCCACATGTGGTTATTAAAAATGTACTTAGGGCAAATAAAAAAATGAATTTTTAATTAATTTCATTCTAACTCTAAGTAGTCACTTGTGGCTACCATACTGGACAGCTCAGACCTAGACATCAACTGGACTAATGAAGTGATTTCCTAACTTAAAATTAAATTTCAATAAAAAATGTAAAACGTTTTTATGAACTTCCAATACGATCGTAGTATTACTTTTAGTACCTGCTGACTCTGTAAAAACTCCTAAAGCACAACTCATCTACATACATTTGAAAAACAGCAGCATCTCTATGTGTGAGAAATGACTGGTTCTAGATGATGCCTGGAGACCCCATGGACTTAACAAAGACCCTTCTAGCAATTTTTGAGCTACCTGGCAATCTGTGGCCAATAAATTGGTAATCACTGAATTAGTGAAGTTTATAGAAAATTGGGGTACATAAAATCTGACAGCTTGATTTTTAAAAAGCGGGACAGGGTGCCATTTCATTCAATTAAAGTATTGCATTAATTCCGTTTAATAAATATTTGTGTCTGCCTATGATGTGCTAGGCACTATCTGACTTGCAGAGGGAAACCAAACTGGTATCTTCTGTACCATGGAAGATACATGTGTCTTGGGGTCGTTGGGAGAATGACTGGACGCGGAGGGAAGGTTGCAGGGAGACTTCGTTTCCTGTAGACGGGGTCCAGGCAGACAACGTAGACCTGAGTTGGATCTGTTGACCCCAAACTGTGCCTTTCCCACCAAGAAGAAAAGCTGTAGCTTCCGTACCAGAAGCTACACTGCAAGCCTGCACTGGAGCACGGAGGTGAGTCAGAGCTGCCCACAGGGACACACACCAGTGGAAAAAGAAAGCCTTTTTTTTTTTTTTTTTTTTTTGAGACGAAGTCTCTGTCTGCCACCAGGCTGGAGTGCAGTGGTGCGAGCTCGGCTCACTGCAACCTTCACCCACCGGGTTCAAGCGATTTTCCTGCCTCAGTCTCCTGATTAGCTGGGACTACAGGGGCGCGACACCACATCCGCTAATTTTTTTGTATTTTTAGTGGACACAGGTTTCACCAAATTGGCCACGATGGTCTCAACCTGTTGATCTCGTGATCCAGCCCCCTCAGCCTCCCAAAGTGCTGGGATTACAGGCATGAGCCACCAAGCCCGGCCCAGAAAGTCTTTCTCACCAGAATGTCAAGGAACACTGGCTGGGAGTTAGGAGAGCTGGGTACTAGGAACATTTTGAAACGGAACAGCTGTGTGATTTTAGAGATTACGTTTCTTCTCTACTATATTTTAGTTCCAAACTTGTACTAATGTTTCTCTCCCTTTCTTCTTGTTGGGAAAAGCACAATTTGGGGTCAACAGATCCAACTCAGGTCTACGTCGTCTGCCGGGACCCCGTCTACAGGAAACGAAGTCTCCCTGCCGCCTTCCCTCCGCGTCCAGTCATTCTCCCAAGGACCCCAAGACACCTCCGCAGATGCGAAATATGCCGTTCCTCGGAATCAAAGATTACTGGGATGACCGGGGGACAACCTTCCCACCCGCACGATTCACGATCCTCCCTGTGCCTCAGATGCAGGGTCCCCACCACCACCTACCACAGCCTGCGGCACTGACCCAGCTCACAGTTAGAACTGCTCAGGTCGGAATGGAAACCACCAGAAACGGAAATTCACTGCTGCGCAGACTCCCAGAGGGAAACAAGAAGAAAAAAAGAGAAGGCCGGGGACGACTTTCAGAAGAGAAAGGCAAGAAAGACTCGCGAACAGCCGAGTGTGGGCGCAGGCGCCGTCCTCGATGTGCATTCCACAGGTCCTCATCTCTGCCAATTCCTCCCCACCCCACCCTTGGAATCCAAGGCCTCAGCTCCCAGGGTGGGACTCCCCAGCACCGTGCACCACGTTTGCCCGAGTCCTCCCCGAAGGCCAGGGCGGCCTTGTGACCCGACGCCGCCACTTGGTGCGGTACAAAGGAAGGAGACACATTTGGTCCTGGCTGCCCCCGGAGTCACCATGCCCGGGAGTAATGGACTATGGTTCGATTGGGAGTCCACTTCCTCCTCTTTAAAGATGACAGATGAGGGGCAACTCACTTCTGGGGTGCCCTAAAGCCGTCTTTTGGCCGGGCGCAGTGGCTCACGCCTATAATCCCAACACTTTGGGAGACCGAGGCGGGAGGATTGCTTGAGCGTAGGAGTTCCAGACCAGCCTGCGCAACATAGGGAGACCCAGGTCTTGCGAGAAGAAAAAAAAAATTAGCCAGTGTCGTGGTGGGCGCCTGTGGTCCCAGCTACTCTGCAGGCGGAGGGGGAGGGTTGCTTGAGCCCAGGAGGCGGAGGTTGCAGTGAGCTGAGGTGGAGCCACTGCACTCCAGCCTGCGCGGCAGAGCGAAACACTGTCTCAAAGAAAAAAAAATAAATAAAATAAGGCCATCTATTGCCAGGACCAACAGACTGAGGGCAGGGACAAACTGACCCAGCCTAAACTGCCTCGCCTTCCCTGCTCCTGGGAAAGGGGCTTTCCCTGAGGAAACTTAGCATGTTGCCGTTTTCTTCCTGCACAGCTTTGCCTTCCCAGGGCTCCGCCCACTCACACCTGAGGAAATGCCTTGAAGTCATCTAACCCACAGCCCAGCTATTTGGGACGCTAGGTCCTGAGTTTAGGGAGTTGGGGAGAGAAAGGAGAGATGGAGACAGGCGTGGACCAAGAGCCACTCAGAGTTGACATCCTGGAAAGGAAGCCAGGCTGAGATAAGGGCAAGGCAAAGAAATAGACACTGGCAAGAATCAAGCCAGAGCAGGGCAGGGACTGGGAACAGAGCCCGCCCCCATGAGAAGCTGTCACATTGCTGGCCCCGTGGCCTGTGACAGCAGCGCCATCTCCAGTCGGAGCCTCCCACCTCTGGATCCTGTCACTGTAACTTTGCTTTGCTACTTAGGCAGACAGCAGTGGTAACAGGCAGGGAAAATGATGCCCAGGGCAGCCGGCCGTGCCATTCCAGACCGGCTGCCAACCCACCCCTCACTGCCCATTTCATCACCTAGGGGAGTCCAGATGAAACCAGCTATCAGCCTAGCTGCCCTTGCCTCCTAGGGTCACAATGGAGACGAGGGTAGCAACTGGCCTTCCTCCCCAAGGGGTGGGCAGGTTATCCAGACCTTCCCCGGATCCCTGAAGCCCACAGCTGACGTTGGGGAGAAGAAGCCGTCTCATATGCTGGTTCCTGTCTCTCTGCTCCCAGGCACTATTAGAGACAGGAACCAGCATATCAGACGGGCTTGAGGAGAAGGTTGGAGAAGACACATTTTTGGCATAAACCAGAGGCCCCTCTCTGCGCTCCATGAACCGGTGGCCTGCGCAGTGCTGAGCCTGCCCCGGCCGTGCCCACCTGGGATAGCCTCTGAGCGGTGGCCTGCCATACTCGGTGGGGAAGAGGCTCACACTGCTCTTCGCCATGCTTGGTGGCGGCTGCAGTAGGGCTCGGGGGTCCCGCATCCAACACGCCCCGCCAGACCTGGCCACCATTCCGGAGGGGACGCCCCA